AGACCGAGTGGAAAAAAAGTTAACTTCAACCCTTTAAATTATCTATAATTACTTATAGTTTCGATCTGAAAAGCTTAGAAAATGGGCTTTTGTGGGCTTTTTTTTCAATTTAAAGATTTATGACCAGGTCACTTGCGTAATTTACAATGACACAACTTGTGACCTTGTTTTGATAAAGTTAGAAAACAATTGTCAATTTAGAAAACATTGGAAACATTTTCATTAACATATTCAGGCATTCAAATGCAATATAAAAGTTAGGGAAAATATTCAATTATAAGGAACAAGCAGAAAATTCCGTTTTTACCATGTTAAAGGTTGTTTTATTTCTCTTTTCGAACTTACAATATACAACTGAAATGTCCGCCAAAAGACTCCAAATTGCATGTTCACAGCGATGTCGCAGTTTTACAAGCGCGGAAAATTTTTGACCTTTAAATATTTCATGCACAATATATAAAAACTAGCTTTATTTTGATGTTTTTGGATAATTTAAGTACGTAATTTTCTGAAAATCGTCAAATGATAATGGGCTTTTTTAATTTTTAAACATTGTTTTGCCCTTATTTTTGACATGTGCATGCCAAATCTACACAATGCCATATCGAATGCAAGCAAACGATAGTTTGTTGTCGCAGTTTTACAAGCGCGGAAACTTTTTAACTTGTAAATATTTCATGCACAATATATGAAAACTAGCTTTATTTTGATGTTTTTGGATAATTTAAGTACGTAATTTTCTGAAAATCGTCAAATGATAATGGGCTTTTTTAATTTTTAAACATTTTTTTGCCCTTATTTTTGACATGTGCATGCCAAATCTACACAATGCTATATCGAATGCAAGCAAGCGATAGTTTGTTGTCGCAGTTTTACAAGCGCGGAAACTTTTTAACTTGTAAATATTTCATGCACAATATATGAAAACTAGCTTTATTTTGATGTTTTTGGATAATTTAAGTACGTAATTTCCTGAAAATTATCAAATGAGAATGGGCTTTTTTAATTTTTAAACATTTTTTTGCCCTTATTTTTGACATGTGCATGCCAAATCTACACAATGCCATATCGAATGCAAGCAAGCGATAGTTTGTTGTCGCAGTTTTACAAGCGCGGAAACTTTTTAACTTGTAAATATTTCATGCACAATATATGAAAACTAGCTTTATTTTGATGTTTTCGGATAATTTAAGTACGTAATTTTCTGAAAATCATCAAATGATAATGGGCTTTTTTAATTTTTAAACATTTTTTTGCCCTTATTTTTGACATGTGCATGCCAAATCTACACAATGCCATATCGAATGCAAGCAAGCGATAGTTTGTTGTCGCAGTTTTACAAGCGCGGGAACTTTTTAACTTGTAAATATTTCATGCACAATATATGAAAACTAGCTTTATTTTGATGTTTTTGTATAATTTAAGTACCTAGTTTTCTGAAAATCACCAAATGAGAATGGGCTTTTTTAATTTTTAAACATTTTTTTGGCCTTGTTTTTGACATGTGCATGCCAAATCTACACATGAAATACAAGCAAGCGATAGTTTGTTGTCGCAGTTTTACAAGCGCGGAAAATTTTTAACTTTTAAATATTTCATGCACAATATATTAAACCTATTTTTATTTTGATGTTTTTGTATAATTTAAGTACGTAATTTTCTGAAAATCACCAAATGAAAATGGGCTTTTTTAATTTTTAAACATTTTTTTGGCCTTGGTTTTGACATGTGCATGCCAAATCTACACATGAAATACAAGCAAGCGATAGTTTGTTGTCGCAGTTTTACAAGCGCGGAAAATTTTTAACTTTTAAATATTTCATGCACAATATATGAAACCTATTTTTATTTTGATGTTTTTGTATAATTTAAGTACGTAATTTTCTGAAAATCATCAAATGATAATGGGCTTTTTTAATTTTTAAACATTTTCTTGCCCTTATTTTTGACATGTGCATGCCAAATCTACACAATGCCATATCGAATGCAAGCAAGCGATAGTTTGTTGTCGCAGTTTTACAAGCACGGAAACTTTTTAACTTGTAAATATTTCATGCACAATATATAAAAACTAGCTTTATTTTGATGTTTTTGGATAATTTAAGTACGTAATTTCCTGAAAATCATCAAATGAGAATGGGCTTTTTTAATTTTTAAACATTTTTTTGCCCTTATTTTTGACATGTGCATGCCAAATCTACACAATGCCATATCGAATGCAAGCAAGCGATAGTTTGTTGTCGCAGTTTTACAAGCGCGGAAACTTTTTAACTTGTAAATATTTCATGCACAATATATGAAAACTAGCTTTATTTTGATGTTTTTGGATCATTTAAGTACGTAATTTCCTGAAAATCATCAAATGAGAATGGGCTTTTTTGCTTAAACATACTTTTTTCCAGCTTTTTTCATAGGGTGTCAGATTTCAAAAACGCAAAGTCGAAGGCAATGCTATTCCATGTGTAGATTTCGGCATGGACATGTCAAACTGAATCAAGGCAAAAATGTTTAAAAATTAAAAAAGCCCATTTTCATTTGGTGATTTTCAGAAAATTACATACTTAAATTATACAAAAACATCAAAATAAAAATAGGTTTCATATATTGTGCATGAAATATTTAAAAGTTAAAAATTTTCCGCGCTTGTAAAACTGCGACAACAAACTATCGCTTGCTTGTATTTCATGTGTAGATTTGGCATGCACATGTCAAAAACAAGGCCAAAAAATACTTAAGAATTAAAAAAGCCCATTCTCATTTGGTGATTTTCAGAAAACTAGGTACTTAAATTATGCAAAAACATCAAAATAAAACTAGTTTTCATATATTGTGCATGAAATATTTAAAAATTAAAAATTTTCCGCGCATGTGAAACTGCGACAACAAACTATCGCTTGCTTGTATTTCATGTGTAGATTTGGCGGGTAATCTCGCAGTGCTCGGAAGACGCACTGTGATTGGCTGTTAGGTGAAAGGGTTTTCCCTACACGATTTTCGTTTCTCAAATGCGGAAGTGATTCCAACCGTAATCCTGCCAAAATAGCCGTGACGGTTCCAGTGGGTGCATTGGTTGCAATGGTTGCAGTGGTTGCAGTAGGTGCATTGGGCACAGTGGGTGCATTGGGCGCAGTGGGTGCATTGGGCACAGTGGTTGCAGTAGGTGCATTGGGCGCAGTGGGCGCAGTGGGTGCATTGCTTGCAATGGTTGCAATGGTTGCAATGGTTGCAGTGGTTGCAGTAGGTGCATTGGGCGCATTGGGCGCAGTGGTTGCATTGCTTGCAATGGTTGCAATGGTTGCAGTGGTTGCAGTAGGTGCATTGGGCGCAGTGGGTGCATTGCTTGCAATGGTTGCAATGGTTGCAGTAGGTGCATTGGGCGCAGTGGGTGCATTGGGCGCAGTGGGTGCATTGCTTGCAATGGTTGCAATGGTTGCAGTGGTTGCAGTAGGTGCATTGGGTGCAATTACATGTCCTACATGGGTTAAATTAACTATGGATTATTAATTTTTTTAGAAAATATGTATGACCACCAAATTGTGAAGAACAGTCCACAATATGAGCAGGAAAATATATCTACAACTAATTTCAGCTATTATTTCTAATGCAAATTGCTTCAGACCCAATCAAATGTTGTATAACCTTATTTGCATTGCGACTTTGCGAGTTGTTGCTAAAAATTGACCCGTGATGGATCTACATGAATCACAGTTAGTCAAAGTAACTGTAAATTCAGGGCCGTACACAACGGTGGAGGGGGGGGGAGGCAAGGGGGGCAACTGCCCCCCCCCCAGAGAAAACTATATTTACGATTTTTAAAGTGTCATTCATTATTCTTTGGATATTTGGGACTTTTTTGGCATATAGCCCTTACTGTCCCCCCCCCCCTGGTGAAGAAATCCTGCGTACGGCCCTGTGAAACAAACATTATACTGTATTAATTGTTCCAAGTTATATCTTATAGAACCGGTAGTCTTATATTGCATGAAACGTTTGTAAATAGTTTTTGGCTTTTATAAATATTTTGTAATTTTAATATTTTGAGCAATACTGATTCATTGCTGGCTCCCTGCATTGTTCATTGGCGTCCATTTCATAAACGAAATCGTACTCGGAATAACAATAATCTCATTAAAACTATCCCAATAAGAATCTGCATAACACAGGTGTTAACGCCCTGTCACAAAATAATCCATCTCATGTTCCCAAGGTGATGGTGACTAATGTGAGGTCCTTAGTTCCAAAACTAGACGAAGTACAAGAATTCCTAATTCGGAATGACATTAATTTTGCGTTTATTACCGAGACATGGTTAAAAGAGTCAATTGCAGAAAGCATAATTAACATTCCTGGTTACACTGTATTTCGCAGAGATAGGAAAAATGATGATCATTGTGGTGTATGTGCTTATATTCGAACTGAAAAATGTAATTACAGACAAATGGACGAATTAAATTGCTGTGAGAATCACGAGATCTTGTG